TCGACGCGAAGGGACACATCGAGTGGCTGCCACCCGCACAACCAACCAGGGCCGGGGACAAACTGCAACCGAGGTACATGCCCTTAGCGGGAACTGAACCCGGGTCTCTCTGGACCGCAGGCCGATGTTCCAACCGCTGAGCCAAACCGGCCAGGGCTGGATAGCTAATTTATTTGTGTAAAGTTTTTGTATGGCTTTTGCACATTTCTTGTCAAATTTATTCCCAAGTATTTTATCTTTTGCTGCCATTGTAAATGGGGATTCTCTTCCCAAACATCTGCTAACTGGTTACTGATTGTATATAGAAAGACTATTTATTTATTTGTATTACTTTTATGTCATGCACATTTTGCAGAATTTTATTTTTGTGTGCCCCCCACCCCCGATTCTCTTGGGTTTTTCATTCATATAAGCATCAATACTGTAACTAGAAATAGTTTTATATCCTTATTATTTTTTAAATCTTCACCTGAGTATATACTTTTTTTTTATTTTAGAGAGGGGAGAAGAGAGAGAAAAACATCCATGTGAGAGAGAAACATTGATTGGCTGCCTCCTGCACTCCCCTTACTGGGGATTGAGCCTGAAACCTGGGCATGTGCCCTGCCCGGGAGTCAAACCGGGACCTCTCAGTCCATGGGACGATGCTCAATCCACTGAGCCGCACCGGCCGGGCTTGAGCAGTTCTTTGAACGGATGACATGTTCACTTGAACTTTCACCCCGATGCTTGTTGTCCTGGATGCTGAGGGCTCCAGGGAGGAGGAAGCAAGAAGTGAGTTTCCAGGGGTAGAGGATACTTCTCCCAAGGCAGCTGGGACGAGGGCTGGAATGGTAGTGTAATACATCTAGGAGAGGGAAGAACACGAGGGAGGGATGTCGTGGGTGGGAGGGCTATGCAAAGAGGTGCAGGAGAGGCCTAAATTGAGGAGAGATGTTACTTCTTCCCAAAGACTTTTCTTCTGACTCTGCATTCCAACCTCGGGGTGGGGGGTGGGGGCTCTCTCTACTATTTTCACAGCTGGGAAGGCAAAGATTTCCCATAGTCCACTGAAGTCCTTGGCAGCCTTTGTCAGAGAGGTCCTCAGAGTCCCCTCCCCCAGGGGGCTTGGACTAAGGTCAGCAGTCCCACCTCCAAATTCCCCCGTTTGCATCCACCCAGCCGGTTTCAGCCAAGGAACCCTGTGGCTCACAGACTTGTTAAATGCTTCCAGTGACAGACTTCTTTTCATGTTGAGTCCTCGATTCTTGATTCTCGGGGCAGCTCTCTCCACAAGGGGCTTTTGAACAACCACCCATCGCTCAGATGGCTTTGCTATGGCAGATGGTGGATGGGGGTGAGGGGACACAGGACAGGCTCTTCTGGGTGCCCGGGCTTCTGTGTTCCCTTCTCTTTCATGCTGCCGGTTTCTCTGCTCCCACAGCCCGCTGCAGACCTGCAGGCATCAGGGGCCTCCTTGCCCCCTTGGCCACTTGACTACTAGGAGGCGCTGGGCTGTGACACAGAGCGAGCGCCTGGCTGAGAAGGCGCCACCCTGCAGGATATGCACTGGAACAGAGGCCAGGAAAAGAGGGAGAAGCAAGTTGCGTATCCCTGAAGCTCCCGGCCATATCTAAAGACTCTGGAGAGGCTGCCACTCAAAGACACGGCTGTGCCCTGAGAGAAGTCTACGTAGTGTTTCCTGCGTACAAGTCACAGGGCTTGTAGAAAGTGCGGCCACTCTCAGCTCTGTTCGCCCAGTTCTGTGACCCCTGCCTGGCACAGGTGTCCAACTGCAGTGGGTGAAATGGGCTCCTGGGGGCCTGCAGGGCAGGGAAGGCTGGGCTGGGAGGGACCTGAGGGGGCTGGGAGTGGTTGCCGTGCTAGGCCGGCACATCTTCCCTCTTCACATACAGTCCCTTCCTCAGTACCTACGCCCTCTGGCTGCGCAAGACCAACCAGACCTGCTTCTCCCACAAACACAAAAGTGAGGGCAGAAAAACTATGGTGGCTCCTTTTAGAACTTTAAATAAAAATGTGAGTCAGACCCTGGCTGGTGTTGCCTGCGGACCAAAGAGTTGCGGGTTCGATTCCGGCCAAGGGCCTGTGTCTCGGTTGTGGTTTGGTCCCTGGTCCTAGCCTGGGTCAGGGTCATTCCGGAGGCAACCAATTGATGTGAGTCTCTCACATCGATGCTTCTCCCTCTCTCACTCTCTCTTTCTCTGTCCCTCTCACTATAGCTGAAGATAAATGGAAAAAAAAATCCTTGGGTGAGGATTAAAAACAAATGTGAGTCAGGATCTGACTGGCCACAGAGGTTCGTGCTGTGTCACAAAGGCTGCCAACGGGCCCCAGCGGCTCAGGTGGCCCCGGGAGCCCTCAGTCCTGGCCTGGTCCTCAGAGCTGTGCTGCTCAGCTCAGGCTGCAGGCCCCTGCTGAGGGGAGGCCACACCGCCAAGGCTTCCAGAGGGAGTCCCACCCGGTGGGAGGCCCCAAGAGGGACTTCTGGAAAGTTCCCTGGGGAGACTCTTCTGTCATCCACCTTCCTCGAAGGCCTCCTCAGGGTCTGGCTGGCGCAGGGCCCACTTCTCTGTAGGAACATTTTATCCTCTTATTCTTGTATCAGATTTACATGGCAGAGTGAAGAGGTTGTGTAGAGCACTAGTCTTGGAGTCCAGAAACCCGGGTCTTACTTCTGGCCAAATACATTACATAGATAGAGCGAGATCTCCTCTGATGTTCCTTTGACTTCCTTAACTAGCGTTATTCAGGAAGTATCACCGATGTGTTGAACACTTCCTGTGTTCCAGGCACCGTGCTGAACACTTTCCCAATCATTAGCTCGCTGAATCTTCACAACGGCCTTATGGGCAGGGGGGATTAAAAACAATTTTTTTTTCTTTATTGATTTTAGAGAGAGAGGAAGGGAGAGGGAGAGAGAGATGGAAACATTGATTCGACACCTCCTGTCCCCCCACACTGAGGAATATCCTGACCAGGAATTGAACAGGCAACTTCTTGGTGCATGGGTCGATGCTCAGCTGCTGAGCCACACCAGCCGGGTGGGGAGGGGGGCGGTTTATTATTCTTATTTCAGATGAGAAAACTGAGTCTTAAGGAGGATGAGTACCATTCTCAAGGCCACCCAGCCAGGATGAAATTGGACCCAGGTAGTTCTCACTCTGTAGTCTGTTAATCGCCACCCTCAAATGTCTGGAGAGCACCATTCTTCAAGTCACACTTGACTGTGATCCTCTTTGGTTTGATTGCTTAGGAACAAATAGAACAATTCTTTAACTATTTTTTTTACCCAGTCTAAATGTCTTTGGGTTCCTCCTTGTATAAGACGGGTCCTGCCGCTATCCTTCCTAGCCTCCCGTGCTATAGAAACACAGGCTGTACGTTTATTATAGCCCGGACTCCAGCATCCACCCCACTGTGTGCTCTATTCCCACAGGCTGCTCTTGGCTTTCCCACACTTGGCTCCTTTGGCTTGGCAACCACCCCACAGGTTCAGCCTCCGCACCTTTGCATGGACACATGTTAGGTATTATTGATCCTTTAGCTAAAGGGACTGTGCTTGTTGAAAATGATGGAGCCTTGAAGGACAGGTTGATGGGAAAGGCAGAGAGAACCTGGTGAGGATTTATTGCCTACGGGGCTGGAGGTGGGCTGTGGGGGCGGTGGTGAATGGGTCATGATGTAGAGTTGGGACTAGACAGAACCCAGGGAGGTGAAGAAGCTGGTCTGAGATGAAGCATCAGGGGAGAAGGTGGCAGGACCCTGGACAGGGTAGAATGCTCAGGGTCAGGGTTACGGGGCAGAGCGTCAGGCTTCAGATGCTCTCCCTGGTAGTGCGGCATACGTCCAGTATCTACACCGTGAGTGCGCCCACAGGAGTGAAGGTGAGCCCTGGAGCAGGTGAATGTGGACCCTCCACGCCCTCTCCCCAGAGTGTGGCTTTACCAGAGAGCAAGCTTCGACTAGGATCAATTACCCTCCTATCTCCACAGCCTGCTGCCGAGTCTGGTGCTTGGTAGGCACTCAGGGACTTTCAAGTAGATGAAGGAAGAGGGGAGGGAGGACCGGTCAACAGTAGGATTTGATGAAGAACTGGGAGCCTCAAGCAAGGGTCAAGCAATCTCTTTCTAGGGTCAGGCAACTGGGGCTCAGCCTTCTCTGTGTTCCCGAGTTTCTGGGGGTTGCCAGGCACAAGAAAACTCACTCTTCTGGTCTCCTCTGATAATACTGGGTCAGAGAGATGAAGCCAGAATTCAACAAAGTTCTAGTGTAGATAAACCAGACAGAAGATGTAAGATTTAAGAATAGGAACTCATTCAAGGGAAAGTGACTACGTTTGTCCAAGACTGGGTCCTGCCAGGTCTCGTCTCAGTAGTAAATGCCTCTTGTTCACTGGCTTATTAGATTTCTAGTGCAGTTCCCAGGTGAAGAGTGCACACACTTAACTTTCTCTTTTCTCTGCACATCTTTAGTCGATTGAAGTCAGTGAACCCCACTGGTGACAGAGTTCTATAAAGCTTGGGCATGATGCAGATGCTCTGAGCTTGTTAAATAAAGGCTGATTAAAATAAAAAGTTCAGTGCCTGGCTGGTGTGGCTCAGTGGTTGAGCATCGACCCATGCACCAAGAGGTCGCAGGTTCAGTTCCCAGTCAGGACACATGCCCGGGTTGTGGGCCAAATCGCCAGTGGGGGCACGAAGGAGGTGTGGAGGGTGGCTGAGCCAAGGTCTCTTGTTGCTCCTGTGGTGTTTGCAAAGCTCACCAGGGAGCATTCTGTGCCAGGAACAAGGCCCTGTGGTGTCTGCAAGGCTCCCCCAGGAGCTTTCTGCCCAAGGTCTCCTGTTGACCCTGCGCTGGCAAGACCCACGCAGGAGCCTAATGAGTCGCAGGCAAGAATGTATCAGCAGTCTTGACTTTGAGCTCAGAGGCCGGTGAAAACATCTGGTGTTTGAAGATAAGGAAACTTTTGAACTTCCCCCTTCATTATTGCTATATAATAAACACGCTGAGCTAGGTCAGGGGCACTGTTTCTCCATCAGAAAGCAGTGTCCCACCCGGCCCCAGCTTTTCTCTCTATTATGTCTCTGTGTCTGTTAATCTCCCTCAGGTCTGGTTCCACTAGCTGCACAGGTCGCGGCAAAGTGGCGCCCACACAGGGACCTGAGCGCGGGGGAACTTGCAGCCAGGCGAGGAGAGGACGCTCCGCGAGGGTGCACATTGAGAAGCGAAAGTAAGGTAGGGGACCGAACTCACTGAGCCAGGTGTCAAACACCGGGAATTCCACGGCTCCAGAAAGAACTCTCTGTGTCTATGTTAAGAACTATGCTTAAGGCTGGAGGATGCTCAATAAAAAAATATCAACTCCCCAAGTTTTTAGAGTATGTGAATGAAACTTGCCCTTGGTTTCCTAACGAAGGGACAGTCAACTTGGGACAAGGTAGGGAAGGGCCTGCGGGGCAGAGATACAGCGAAAAGGCCTGAACAAGATTCGTGCAAACATTTACAGTTTGGTCCCTAACTCGCGATTGCCCTGATCCCGCGCAGGAAGCTAGCAAGGCAGGGGGCAAGGTATAGTCCTTAAAGACGCCCCCAGCACCTGCCGCTGCAGCTGTGAGAGAGGTTAATCCCCGTGATGAGACCCCCCCCCCCCCCCAGGGTGAGAGAGAACTAGAAAGAGAGGCGGAGAGAGATAGATGGGCAGCCCGGCACCCAGGAAGATTCAGACGAGGAGTTTAATGTTACCCAGAGTTTTGCAGAATTGGCTCTTACCTCTTGACCATCCCAAGGGGATGCAGGGGCTCTAGTGCCCCTGTGCCCTCTTCCTTACAAGGAAGACAGGCCAGAGAGAAGATCACCGGGTTTTCATATTCCCAGTGATAGAGAGAGGGGCCTGACCCGAACAATCCAGGTCTGGCATTAAAAATGCATGAGCCCATCCCATTGAAGACGCTGAGAGATCTCAAGTCTTCCTGTACAATGTAGGGCCCACAGCTCCTTCTGTGCTGTGTATTAGAGAATGTTGCTAGTGAAGCCTTAGCTTGGAGTGACTGGCAACCATTAGCGAAAGCTTGCCTTAGCCTGGGGACTATCTGATGTGGAAAACTAGCGGGATGGAGATTAGTGGTGAGCAGCCCACACACAATCAACAGCATGGCGTGCCCAGCTCTTTGGAAATGTTCACCGGTACAGGGCAAAATCAGGCTCTTCGCGACCAGCTGGGGTTTGCTCTCTAGGCATATTAATATTTGTGCTTTGAAGGCCTGGAAAGAGCTCCCAACAAAAGGGGAAAATTCACTAGATCTTACATCCATCATGATATGGACCTGAAGAGCCATATTATGATTTTGTAGCTCGGTTGCTACAGGCAGTGGGCAGAGTGATAAGTGATTGAGAGCACGGCACATTAATAGTTAAACAGCTTGCCTATGAAAATGCTAATGAGCCCAGCAGGGAGGCGCTCCGCCCTTACCGTAAAAAAGCTAATATATCTGAATTCATCCACATCTGTTTAGACATTGGGTCTTCCCATATAGAGCAGGCCACGAGAGCTGCGGCTTTTCCTCTTCGCCAGTAAGGCAGGGGAAATGCAAAAGTGATAAACATATTATAAATCATTGTCTGGCCACTTTTACTTGGCTGGGAGAACCCCAGGAAATAAAAACTAACAACGGGCCAGCTTACACCAGTTCTGCCTTCCAAAAATTTTGCTTGCAATATAAAATTCTACATAAGACAGGAATTCCTTATAACCCTCAGGGACAAGCTATAGTAGACAGAGCGAACAAAACTTGAAAGCTACAATCACAAAACCAAAAAGGGGAGCTATAGCCCTGGCCAGTCTTGCTCAGTAGTGAGAGTCCCGGGTTCGGTTCCCGCTAGGGGCACTTGCCTCAGCTGCAGTTTGCCCCCCGGCCCCGGTTGGGGTCACTCGATGTGTCTCTCTCACGTTGATGTTTCTCTCTCTCTCTTCCTCCCTCTCTCCCTCCTGCTCTATCTGAAGATGAATGCAAAAATGTCCTCAGTGAGGATAAAAAAAAAGGGGGGGGGAGATATGGGATATGCTCTTACTCCCCAGAATCAACTGAACCATACCTTATATATTTTACATTTTTAAAATTGTGATGCCACTGGCCTTACTGCTGCTGAGCACCAGGTGACCCAGCTGCAGGCTTCAGCAGGGGCCAGATCCGGTGATGATAGGGGAGGAGACCACGTTTGTACTTTTCTAGAAGACACTGATCAACCTATTTGGGTGCCTGCCTGTGAAACCTGAGAATAAAACATCTTATGGAAGCACCAACATTACTACTATTACAGGTCCTTGGGATATAAAGAAATATATTCAGACTGTGACTAAGCTAGGATTTCCCAGTAACACCCAGGATGTACCTTTATCAGCGTCCTTATTGCCCTAACAGGACTACCCTTCAATTTAGGGGTTTTCCCCAATGGCAGGGTTGTGCTCATCCTAGCCCTGTTAGGATTTCAGATGTTAGACTGGTCTCATAGATTGGACCCTACATACTCTAATCATGATTTCATGTCCTCTGGGGGCTTTGTAAGTAACATCCTTACCACCCCTAAGGGTCAAATACAGAAGGATCTCTGGCGATTAGCCGCTACACTAGATTTTATGAATTATCCTGACTCTTTTTTGGCAAACATTACATTGGCCTGTCACCCCACTAATCCCTGTTTTGGGTTGTGGGCTTGTGTGCAGGCCCCTTATGCGATGGTGGTAAGCTCTGTAAATATTACTAAGCTTCCCACATACTATTCTATCTCATGCCCTGAGTGTACATGAACTAACTGTGCAACAAGAGATAATAAGTATGATGATGTTTTAATTCTGCATCAGCCCTCTTTTTTATGCTCCCTACCAACATATCAGGAGATTGATATCATGAAACTGGGCTGCCAGCTTTGATAGAGATCAAGAACCAATGGACTCATCATAAAAGAGCTTTAGGATTGATTATTTTGGGCATTATCACTTTTGTGGGTCTTATTGCTTCTACTGTAACTGCTTCATTAGCTCCGACTCAAGTATACATAATGCTCAATTTGTGAATGACTTAGCTCAAAATACCTCTGCTGCTTTACACAATCAAGAAAATATTGACACCAAATTAGAAGCAAAATTAAATGCTTTGGAAGCCTCAGTTATCAGGCTAGGAAATCAAAGTTCGACAAAAACCACTTTGCCATGCTGCTTATAGTTTTATCTGTGTTACTTCCGTCCCGTATAATAAAACCCCGTGGGACTGGGACAAAGTTAAGTTACATCTCCAAGGAATATGGACTCACAATAATATCAGTCTTGATTTGCAGCAACTGCATAGACATATACAGGATATTCAAAATAGCCATGATGATATTGTTAATCCAGCACAACTGGCTAAAGAAATTTTCGATGAGGTTAAGGGTTTCAACCCTTTCAATCTTAAACATACGGCATGGTACTTGCTTGGATTTGTTATTGTTCTGATAATACTGTTTTGTCTCCTGTCAGCTGCCGAATCTTCTGAACCCAGCTCAGAGGAGTCCAAACAGATGCTCACTGCATGCATTTAAAGACAGAAAAGGGGAAGATTTAAAGACAAAAAAGGGGGTGGGGGTGGGATGGGAGGAGGGTGTCTAAGGGGGAAAAAGGAGAAACGTCTGTAACAAAAATAAATTAATAAAAATTGGAAAAAAATTTAAAACATAAACTGTGAACAACAACAACAACAACAAAAATGGGGGGATTTAAAGACAAAAAAAGGGCAGAGATTGAAAAAACAAAAATGGAGGAGGTGTGGAGGGCGGCGAGCCAAGGTCTCTTGTTGCTCCTGTGGTGTCTGCAAGGCCCCCCCAGGAGCTTCTGCCCAAGGTCCCCTGCTGACCCTGCGCTGGCAGGACCCACGCAGGAGCCTTGAGTCGCGGGCAAGAATGTGTCAGCAGTCTCGCCCTTGAGCTCAGAGGCCGGTGAAAACATCTGGTGTTTGAAGATAACGAAACTTTGGACTTCCCCCTTCATTATTGCTCTATAATAAACACGCTGAGCTAGGTCAGGGGAACTGTTTCTCCATCAGAAAGCAGTGTCCCACCCGGCCCCAGCTTTTCTCTCTATTAGGTCTTCGTGTCCTTAGTCTCCCATCGCCCCTCCTCAGGTCTGGTTCCATTAGCCGTGCAGGTTGTGGCCAGGAGGCGGCCAATTGTTCTCTCTCATTGATGTCGCTATCTCTCTCTCCCTCTCCCTTTCTTTCTCTCTAAAATCAACACAGGAGGAAAAGAAAAGTTCAGTAAGAGGCTTTAAAATAGTGGATTGACGAATAGTAACCCGAAGATCAGTGTAGTGTACGTCTAACCACATCTCTGCTTAGATTTTCATGTGTTTCCTTCATGGTCTTTCTTGTGGCTCGCCCTGCGCTGTGGGTGCACTTGTTGAGAACGTTATCTGTGTCTGGTTTTGCTGAAGTCAGTTTTTCCGAGACCCTCTTTGCCCGTAGGCTCAGTTTCACCTTGCCATCTGCAGTCGGCCAGTTTCCGTGGCAGAAGAGGCCACATCTGCTTCCTGGGGGCCCTGGGCAGAAGCATGCGGTGGTGCCTCCTCCTGCTCTGGGCGCAGGGGCTGCGGCAGGCTCCCCTCCTGGCTGCAGGTAGGGCCGGACTCGAGCGGAGAACCCGAGGAAGAGGGCGAGCGGGGAGGAGGTACGGGCAGGCCGGGAGTGAACGCTACGTCTGTCTGCGGGAAGGAAACCACGGTTTTCAAAGCCCTGCGCCTCCTTTTCTCCTCCGAGAAGGAGGCGCAGGTCTGTTCCGGGCAGCGGATGAAGGGCTTGGGGTTGGGGGGCCCTGACTGGCCATGGCCAACCCCAGAGAGGAAGCAGAGGGAGAGAAAGGGACTAAGAGGGAGAGTGATTGGTTTGCTTGTAGAAGTTCACTCCTGATCCATTGTGATTTCTTCTGTTCTTCAGGAAACTTCTAGAAAAGCATTGTATGTTTTCTGTGGATCAAAATGTTTTCTTCACAGATTCTACCATTATAGGTTGAATTTATGTTAAATCTGTGTCCTTCTGTATTAAAAGAGGACACAAATATTTAAAAGCGGCAGGATAAATTAGTTTTAATGCTGCTTTCTGAACCACCTGAGGGGTGGCACGTGCCGAAAGGGCTGTTTTGCCATAGACACCCCGTTTCCCTCCAATGCTCCTGCCCTTCGGATCTCCTGGCTTTCCTGAAGGGTTAGCCGGCACCCCAAATGACAATCAACCAAACAGCCAGATTGTATTTCAAAGGAGAATGTATCCAGCACTGGGTGGTTGGACACAATAAAACAGAGGCAGTGGCCGGCAGGGTTCACGTTCTAGGCAGGGAGGGAGACAAAGCGGGCACACGGAAACCATCCGAGAGCTGGTCACCAAGCTGCCTTACAGCAGAGCATGTGAGCTGGTGGCGTGCTCTGTCCGCCTCAGGGGGGACAGGGCGGACTGGGGAGGCTAACGCTCCAAACACCAGTTCTGGCCGCAGGGCCCTGGGGATTTCTGTGGGAAGGTTCGAGACCAGCTGTTGACCCAGGACTCATGCAGGCTTTTCCCCCTTCCCTAGGAGCTGTGACAGGCAGAATAGTGACCGTGGGGACCCTTTCTGCAGAGGAAGGGGGCTCGGTCACCTTACAATGTCACCTCTCCTCCACCACTGCCTTGGTGACCCAGGTCAACTGGGAGCAGCAGAACCAACTCCTGGCCACTCATCATTCTGAGTGGGGGTGGCACATCTCCCCAGCCTTCAGCAAGCGAGTGACCCCCAGCCCCAACCTGGGCCTCACCTTCCGGTCGCTGACCATGAACGACACCGGGGAGTACTTCTGCATCTATCACACGTTCCCTGATGGCATCTACAGAGGGCGTCTGTTTCTGGAGGTCCTGCAAAGCTCAGGTATGCCCTCTGCAGCAGGGCGGCCGAGAACCTCCTCCCCTAGGACAGAAATGCGGTCCTGCCAGGCACAGGGGGGCAGGGCCTTCCAGCCCTGGCTCACATGCCCGTCGCCTGGGAGCTTTTACACTACGCTGACGCCAGTGCCCATCCCTGATCAATTCCGTCAGAATATCTGGGGTCAGAGCCAGGATGTGAGAGGTGCTAAGAGCATCCCTGGTGATTCAAATGTGCAGTCAGGGTTGAGAACCACACTTTGGGGTATAGAAAGGACATTTTATGTATATTTTCTAGGGAGACCAGTTGATAAGGTCATCTGGAAAATGTTCTCATTTATTAGTTCGGCAAGAATCATGCAAATTAGAATTATCCCCCAAATTTATAAAGGATTAGAGCTGTTTAAAAACAAAGCTGAGCCCTGGCCGGTTTGGCTCAGCGGTTAGAGTGTCGGCCTGTGGTCCTGAGAGACCCGGGTTCGGTTCCCGCTAAGGGCATGTACCTTGGTTGCAGTTTGTCCCCAGCCCTGGTCGGTTGTGCGGGTGGCAGCCACTCGATGTGTCCCTTCGCGTCGATGTTTCTCTCTCTCTCTCTGTTCCTCTCTCTCCCTCCCACTCTACCTGAACAAAAAATGGAGAAATGTCCTCTGGTGAGGATAAAAAAATAATAATAATAATAAAAAACAAAGCTGAGTGCTAAATGCAAATGTATAATAATTGACATTTTTAAAAATGTGTTTTTAAAAAATTTTTTTCAATTACAGTTGACATGCTCTAAAGCTCATATATTTTTCAATATATCAATTTCAGGTAAACAACATAGTGGTTAGACATTTATATAATTTACAAAGTGATCACCCTGATGAGTCTACTACCCACCTAACAATACACAGTTACTACAATATTATTGACTATATTCCCCATGCTGTACCTTACATCTCTGTGATTGTTTGTATATCTGGCAATTCATACATCTTCATTCCTTCCCCTATTTTGCCCATTCTTCCCAACTACCCCCCCGCATCTGGCAACCATCAATTTGTTCTCTATATCTATGAGTTGTTTCTGTTTGGTTTGTTCATTTATTTGTTTTTAGATTACACGTATAAGTGAAATCATATGATATTTGTCTTTGTCTGACTTATTTCACTTAGCATAATATCCTCTAGATCCATCCACGTTGTTGCAAATGGCAAGATTCCATTCCTTTCTATGGCTGACTAATATTCCACTGTTCATATGTATCACTTCTTCTTTACCCACAATCTACCAATGGACACTTGGGTTGCTTCCATAGCTTGGGTATTGTAATTAGTGCTGCAATGAACATAAGGGTGCTTACATCTTTTTGAATTAGTGTTTCGGATAAATACCCAGAAGTGAAATTGCTGTGTCACAATGGTAGTTCTAGTTTTCATTGACATTAGTGTGTGCTTCATAGTTTCTAAAATAATCTCACATTCAGGATCCAGCAAGACACTTGATCCAGTTGTCTGGACGGTGAGAAAGGATTCTTTTCATATCTGAGACTGTGTTGCGGAGTGGTTATGAGTTCAACCTGATTCAGATTCTGGTGCTGCTGTTGACCTCAGACAAGATTACTCAGCTCCTCTGTGCATTGGTTTTCTCATCTGTGAAATGAGGGTAGTTGTAAGAATTTAGAAGGTGCTAACGTAGGATTAAATTACTTACTACAAGAAAATGCCTGTAGAACAGCCTGGAGCATGCATGGTTAGCACCAAGTAAGTCTTGCCTATGAATGCAATTCTTATCTGACTGATGGAGGTAGAAACCGAGGTTTGAAGTTGCTCAGAGCTCTAGAGCTGACTTTTAACACAGGTGTTCTGGTTCCCCTAAACTGCACCCTCAGGACTTCTATTTGCTGTCAAAGATTAAGCTTTATGAGTTAGCAAAATCTGTGAAACTGTTACTTTAAAGTTTCTTCTCAAATGCTGCTTCTCCGCTGGTTCCAACATAGGCCAATGAAGCCTTGTCGGCGTGGACAAGAGCCTACATCTTTCTCTGGTTTGGTGGACGGCCCTCTGCAGCCCCTCTGCCCTCTGCAACTGCTCTCCATCTGCCCTCTTTCCCTACCAGTGGCCAAAGGGGTTAAGCAGGGGATTTGGGCTCCCTCTTCTGCCCGTCCTGGTACTGTGTCAAGACTGTGGGGACTGCCCTTGTCCTGAGGGATGGCATTCCTTAGCCACTTTTGCGGCAATCTGAGCCCTTAATCGGAGGGAAGAGGGCCCGGCCTCTGCAACACCCTTCTCTTTTCTCCCCAGACACTTTGGTTCTGCCCGAGCTTCAGGGAAGGAGGTGGAGATGGGGGGAGCAGCCTGGAGACCTTCCCCCCTCAGCACACTGCGCATGCAGACAACTGTCCTGTTTCCTCCCACTCTCCTTGGATCAAATGCCACTCATCTCTTCAGACTCCCTTCCTGCCTCTTCCTCCTTCTGGTTACATTTTATGCCGATAGAAATTCACTCGTTCATGCTTTAATTCATACCAAAAATTCTGATGAAGCACCGGCTCCATGCCAGGTGTTTAATAAAGGTTTGTGAAATGGCCCAGCCGGTGTGGCTCAGTGGTTGAGCGTAGACCTAAGCACCAAGAGGTCATCGGTTCGATTCCCGGTCAGGGCACATGCCCAGGTTGTGGGCCTGATCCCTAGTGGGGGGCCTGCAGGAGGTGGCCAATCGATGTTCTCTCTCATCGATGTTTCTATCTTTCTCTCCCTCTCCCTTTCTCTCTCTCTAAAATTAATAAAGGAAAAAAATTAAAATACATACATAAATAAAAAAGAACCTTGCTCTTGCTGGGGTCTCACAGCTCAGGGGGAGTAAGTATTATAGGCTTAAGGTAAAAGGGTATGTGCTTTTTGATTTTTTGTACTTTAATATAAACTTCATTTTAATTTTAAGTTAATTTTGTCTACTGGTATGATTATAAATATGAAGTTTAATAAAAGAAAAGGTTCCTTTTCCATTTTTTCTGGATGTTTTCATTTCATGATTATTACTCAGAGTGATTTTGTTGAGCCGAGGAGGGGAGTGTTAACGAAGGTGGTGTCAGATGTGCGAGGTACAGTCGGTGGTTCCCGATGGGCAGGCAGATGTTCTGCTGTCCCAAGAGCTGGGCTCAGTGGCCCAGGCCTGTGTCCAGGGAAAGGCCCAGCCGGTCGCGGCCTCTGTGCCCTGACGCGCGGGCTCCCCGGGAACGGCTGCCCTTTGCGTCTGGCCCCAGCTCACCCTCTTCACTTTGTCCTCCATCTAGGGGCTGCGTACAGTGCTGGGTTCCAGGTCCCACTGCTTGGAGTCGTATTGCTGGTGGTCATCTGCATAGCAGTCATTGTGGTGGTCACATTGACCAGAAAGGTAATGTGGCCCCCTGACCCCCCAACCCTGCCACATTGGCCCTTTCAGATTCTCCTTCTGTCCAGAGAGAGATGTAGATGTGGTCTCCCCTGCTGCTCTGGGACCGTTTCATGGTCCTTGTTCTGCCTTCTTGGGAAGTTGTTTATATTCTTCTTCTGTCCCTTCCCTTAACTGCGAGCTCCTGAAAGGTGGGACCTGTCTCCTCCCATCCTGCTGTCACCTACAACTCCGAGGTCCTGCCTGTCCCTCAAGCCAGTCGCTGGGGGTCTGATTTATCTACTTTGACTGTGACACATCTTGGGCAGCTGCTTTGTGCCAGGGAGTCTGGTACATTAGCTCATTTAATGTTAACAATCCTTCAGCCATGCTAGGCTACCCATCTGTGGGGTGGGAAATAGAGGAGGATGAGGGACCCCTCTTTTCCGATCAAGATCCTGGTGTAGGAGACTTGCCCAGGCTTAGGAGCCAGCCTTCTTTGAAGTTCTGTCTCTCTTTAAAAAAAAAATTATCCTCACCCCAATCCCCTTTGCCTACCTCCACCAGCCCTGCCCCCTCCCTCCCAGACGGTCCGTCTCTCTTACAGTTAAGTCCTGTGCCTGGTCTTCAGTGCTGAGGGGAGGCTCTTCGAATGCTGCTGAGGAGGACCTTTGACCCTCGCACCTTGCCCTCAGCTGCTGATAGATCTGTTATTTTTCTCTTCAGTGCACCAGATAAATTTAGCAAAAGCCACCTAGTCCCTAGTTCTGATAATCACCGCTTACCCCATACTTCTCAAATGTCGGAGCAGGGGCACCAGCTCACCACCCCCTCCATCGGTGTCCCGTCCCATTTCTCCACCAGTGGTGGGGTCCGTGTTCCCATCCAGCAGGTGAGCACTCTCTTTTCACAGTTCATCTAGGGCCATGCCCAGGGGCAGCTGTTTTAGGTCAGTTTCAGGACATAGAGCAGGTCACGTGAATTCTGGTGACAGCGATTTGTTAGAACGAGCTCTCAGGTGAAGGGCACTGAAGGAAGCAGAATGGGGCCAAGGGAAGAAAGCTCCACATGATGTAGTCTCAGCCAGAGACCTGGTTGAAGCAAGAATTGTATGCATGCCCTGGCCAGTGAGCTCAGTGGTTAGAGCTAAGGGCACATACCCGGATTGCATGGTCTATCCTCAGGCACCCCAAGTAGGAGGCGAACAATGGATGTGTCTCTCAGCTCAAAGTTTCTCTCTCTCTCCCTCCCTCCCTTCCACTCTCTCCAAAAATCAATGGAAAAAAATATCCTCAGGTGAGGATTCACAACAACAACAAAAAAGAATTGTATGCAGAGTTGGTTGCACCTTGAGGCAGGGAGCTGGCCTTTTAAAAACCCACCTTAGTTAGTCATGGATTGCTGGCGCCTCCCCAGGAGGGCCCAAGAGCAATTCTGCAGAGAATGGCCACTGTGAGCGCTCAAGTCCGTGCTCCCAGATCTGGGGATGGGAACACTGGTCAGGCACGGGGGATCTGAGCAGGGTGCCAACAGCATGTCCCCCCGGTCCCGAGGGCCAGCGGACTGCCGTCTTGGGGAGTATGGCCTTTGGGAGCAGACAGACCAGGTTTGGATCTTGCCTCCACCACCTGAGTGTCTGTGTCACCTGACCTTGCTGAGCCTCAGCTTCCTCACCTGTAAATCAGAAATAATTATGGTGCTGCCCTTGTGAGGTTTTGAGAAAACTTAAGTCAAATAAGTGGTCACTTGGCATTTTTCCTGGCATGTAGTAATGACCATTATTCTTATAAATATATGTTCTTGTAATTATCATAAATTTTATCATAGCACCTCATAATACTCAATAAATATTTACATTGCATGGATCAACTAGACTTAATGAAGGAATATTATCTGCCAAGCAGCTATTGGCAAAAGCGCCCCCAAGGGGACCTTCTGTGAGGTACAGGGGAGACGGGTGTGTCCGGCTCCAGGACCAGAACCACCAACCCCACTGGCCTTTTGCTCAGATTCTCCAAGAGGCAGCGTTTGTCCCTGGCAGACCCAGCTGCGCGCCCAGGAGCTGCCTTTGGTTCTTAGGACACCAGCACCTCACTCCCAAACCCGCTTCCTCACCGATGACAATGAGAGTCCTCGTGCAGGATGCAGTGCGAACGGAACAGCTGAGAGACCCCCCGCAGGCACATTTCCAGTTCCCAGGGGACTTTCAGAAGCCGAGAGAGACCTAAGATTCAAAGGCAAGGGCGGTGGAATGGGAGCAAGAACACACCAGCGGAAAGGTCACGTCAGCGCTTCAGAATTGGACCGGGTGGCGACAGGGGACCAGCACTTCTGCTGAGCCCGGCATCGGTGTGGCCTAGGATAACTACCCTTTTTCTTCGCACTTTTGGTAGATAAGGTGCAGTCGCTGCTACTGAAAAGGAATGAATGGCACCGTGCTTGGGGAGAGACTGCCTGACTCGTGTGTGCTTCTGAGACCATGGCCTCTCTTGGGACCCAGCTCCCCGGGCCCGCAGCTGTGCGTCCCTCTGATTTTCATTTGTTTCCGGTGCACATCCACCCGACCTTGTCCGCCCCTCACCCCTCGCAGCCCCTGAGAGGATTGTCCCACAGTGTGCACTGCGAGCACGCAGCCCTTGCCTATAGGTGTGCACTGTGAGCACACGGCCCCTGCACGTAGGTGTGCACTGTGAGCACGTGGCCCCTGCACGTAGGTGTGCACTGTGAGCGCGCGGCCCCTGCACTTAGGTGTGCACTGTGAGCGCGCGGCCCCTGCACTTAGGTGTGCACTGTGAGCACGCGGCTCCTGCACGTAGGTGTGCACTGTGAGTGCGCAGCTCTTGCCTGTAGGTGTGCACTGTGAGCGCGCAGCCCTTGCCTGTAGGTGTGCACTGTGAGCACGCGGCCCCTGCACGTAGATGTGCACTGTGAGCGTGCAGCCCCTGCCATACGTGTGCACTGCGAGCACGCAGTCCCTGCCCGTAGGTGTGCACTGTGAGCGCGCAGCTTTTGCCTGTAAGTGTGCACTGTGAGCACGTGGTCCCTGCACGTAGGCGTGCACTGTGAGCGTGCAGCCCTTGCCTGTAGGTATGCACTGTGAGCACCCGGCCCCTGTCCGTAGGTGTGCACTGTGAGCACGAGGCCCCTGCCCCTAGGTGTGCACTGTGAGCACGCGGCCCCTGCACTTAGGTGTGCACTGCGAGATCGTGGCGATAGCCAGTAACAGTGCAGGTATTTCCTGTCCTGGAGGCACTGCGGGGGCCAGGGGGTGGGCACAATGGAATCTGGTTGGTTTGTTGTTCCTTTCCAAGCCTGGGAGTGGCTCCCTGTGATTCTGTCCTTCAGACCTGCGGCGCAGGTGAGTGCCTTGCTTCCGAGCAGTCTCCAGGAAGACCAGGCGGTGTCATCTGTGTATGGGTGTCCTTGAGCACTTCTGATGCCACCCTGTCCGTGCCTGCTGGTCTGGACTTCCCTGCCTGAGCACAGCCCTCGCCCGAGCTGCTCTCCATGCATGTGGTGGCTGAGCTCACATCCTGGATTTCCCCCGATTTCACTGTTCTGGCCTATTGTCCCACAGTGAGACTGTAGTTGTCTGACTGTGAGTCCTGACTGTGACTGGGAAAATCCAGTTCTTTTAGGGATGGGGCTGTAGGCGAATGTGTGTGTGCGTGTGGGTGCACGTGCGTGTACATATGCTGCGCATCTGCTAGGGCTCTGAGGTTACACAGAGAGCACAGCACAGCCCCCTCCGCGGGAGCTCAGAGGCCTGGAGGAGACAGAGGGTACAGGGAAAGCTCCAGACAGCATTCAGCGTCACAGTGGAGAACTCCAGGACCGTGTTCCCGCGCACGGGAAGGGTCGGAGAACGCTTCTTGGACAACGTGCTGCGGACAGAGTCGACAGCCTTTCCAGGGAATGCCAGAAAATGGACACAGGGTGCAACATATACAAAACCAGGGAGTCAGGAAACTGCCTGGCATTCTAGAAGCCGCAGATGAGAGGCAGCTTGCTCGAGGAGAAAGGGCCTATAGTCTGGAGTCAGACAAACCCAAGTCAGAATTGAATTTGTCCTTAAGCAATTGATGGCAGCTGTCTGTGCCTATCTGCTAATTCAAAGACTTCAGTGGGGGTGCGGGTGGGTTGTGACACAGGTGCCCAGGCCATGCTCATGGAGGGCTCTGGCAGCAAGCCCTGTCCCAGAAGTTGGGATGTTGGTGGGGGAAGCACTGCAGGACATGAAGCTGAGAAGGTGAGTGTGACCAAGCCACACGGGGCATCACACAAGTCTCCTGTGGGGGATGCTGTGAAATTATGCACCTCAGACAAGGTTTTGTTTTGGTTTTTAATGTTTTTTCTTTATTAATTTGAGAGAGAGAGAGGAAAGGAGAGGGAGAGAGAGATAGAAACATCAATGAGAAAAAAACATCAACTGGCTGCCTCCTGCATGCCCCCCACTGGGGATCAGGTACACACCCTGGGCATGTGCCCTAACTGGGAATCGAACTGGCGACCTCTTGGTGCATAGGTTGAAGCTCAACCACTGAGCGACACCAGCTGGGCGACAAGGTTTTTTTTTTACACAACCTAAGTGGTATTTTTTTTAATTGATTAATTTTTGTTACAGATGTTTCTCCTTTCCCCCCTCACTGATTCCCCCCTCCCCATCCCTCCCTGCCCTGTCCCCAGCTTTGTTGTCCATGTCCACTGTTCATGCATACATGCATATAAGTTCTGTGGTTTATCTCTCCCCCACCACCCCCTTCTGGGGATTGTCAGTCTGTACCCCACTTCCACGTCTCTGGGACTGCCCCATTCCTCAGACTGTTATGTTCATTATATTCCACAAATAAGTGAGATCATATGATATTTGTCTTTCTCTGTTTGGCTTGTTTCACTTAAGATGATACTTTCCAGGTCCCTCCATGTCGTCTCAAAGGATAAGAGATCTTTCTTTCTTACAGCTGCATAGTACTCCATTGTGTATATGTACCACCGCTTTTTTATCCATTCGTCTACTGATGGAC